CTATGTCGGAGCCAATAACGGGGCAAGAAAAAGTTGCTATTCTAGATGCTGGGGCGCAATATGGAAAGGTAAGATCTCCGTTACTTTGCTCAAGGAACGACCAATAACTTTGCTTATCTTGAAATGCATGGTTGTGTTGTCGTGTCAATTTCAGTTACTTTTTAAATATCTTTCAGATTCCTTTTCCTAATCACGATAAACATCGATCGATCGGTTTTGTTTGGTCACAACACTGAGAAAGAAAATCATCCAGTTTTATTTTTTTCATGATGCTGAGCCAAGTTTATCTTGAAGCGATAACAGACAAGTCACATGTACAGTTATCCTTGTCTGCAAGAAAAAAATATTAAGCTTATTCTCCAATAGTATTACATGTCTTACATGTACGTAAGCTTTTTTAATTCAGTTCGTCAAAGAAAACAGCTGGTTGTTCGCTAAGAGTGGTATCTTATTTTCTCATTTAAATAATTCCTTGCGGCTGCTGCCAAGATCGAATCAGATAATGTTAGCTACAATCTGATCCGATCTTGATCATGTACCCTACTGACGCCAAGTTTAATTTTTGGTTAAAAAAAAAAAAAAAAAAACCCTAATTATAGTCTACCTCAAACACAACTCTTCCAACGTACTGTGGGAGATAAGCTGCAAAACTAGAACTATAACAAAAAATTTAACCGTATAGATGTTTTTTGGTTCAATTTCATTCTTTCTTTTCCTTTCTTTTTTCAAGCTAATTTGCCACATAATTAATATGCCATACCCAGAAACAAATATTTTGATAAAATCAAATTTAACCCAAAGATAAGCTAAACGTAAACTACACCGCACATGTACCTTTTTTGTTAAATCATTTCTGCAAGATTCACATTAAAGGTATGAATTAAAATTAATCATTTTCAGTTTATTAAACTTAATGTTTTGTCATTAGGTCATAGATCGTAGAGTGAGAGAACTGTGTGTGGAAACAGAAATTCTTCCCCTGGACACATCTATATATACCATACAAGAGAAAGGTTTTAGGTAAGAATAAACTTTGCAGGATGTTAAGTGTACAGCTCTTAACTTTAGGGACGCTAGGTAGCCGAGTGGTCGATCTGTCAGAATCGCAATCCATTGATCTGTGATTCGAGTCCCGCTCTGGTCACTTGCCAAATTTGTTCACAGCTGTCCCAAGCTGAAATCCTTGGCCACGCTTGTAAATAGCCAACTGGTTGCCTCCAGCATTTCCAGAGTCTCCAGAACCAGAAACTTCCAGTTTGGATTCTTAACCATATTATTTTCATTTGAATTTGTTTGTTTTGTTATCCTGAAAAGCCCTATAAGGGGAGAGGATACATTTTTTTTAAAGTATTTATCACTAAAACTATAATTATTATTATTTGTCTTATATTAGGCAATAGTGTGCATTGGCAATTTATTGTTCTCATGGCAATGAATCAGGATTCAAAACTCCTTGTGGCCAAAGTCAAACTTCCACAATAATTCCATTTGCTATTGTTGAAAATGTGGAAAAACAAGTAGTATAATGTTACAGTAGTGCCATAGGTTTTATTTTATAGTCAAGTCAGGTGAAGAGTAAGCTCAGTCTCCAGGGTGTCTATGTGCCGGCGTTACTTCCCACCTGGCTGGTCGCATCAAGACACCCAAGGCTGGAGACTGAACCTTCCCTGTAGGTGAAGCATAGCCCCTGCGATTCTATTTTATGAATTTATTATTTGAATGTTGAATGACTACTGGTTAGGTTGTTCAAACGTCAGTCACTGTCAACAACAGTCCTATTCAGAACTATGCTCACAAGAACGATCATGCTTCACTTACATGTGCTTATGAAATGACTCCTAGGTTCAAACCTTTCACAAAGTTGAATCCATCAGCAGTTGTAGATTTCAGATTCAGTGCATCTTGGCATTTCTGCATGCATAATGAGTAGTGAAGTCACACCTGAGGTAGTTTCTCAGTTTTCTTGACTATGATAAAAAAGTTTTTCAAAGCAATTTTATCCATTCAAGGATTCTTCATTCTTACTGAATAATGAGAAGTTGTAGCCAAAAATTCACTGCTCATTATGCATGCATCAATGCAGATTTAAATTTGATACTGGTTTTAGCAATGACCAATGGATTCATTATGTCATGTAATTGATTCATTATGGAATCTAGTGGAGTATGTTTGACCTTGCTTGTCTGTAATTGCAGGGTGCAAAGAAAGTCAGTTTTACAGCTTGCCATTCGGGCAAGCTGTAGGTATCATGTACTAGCCCGAAAGTCATTTCAACTGGCCTCAAAAAAATTTGATGAGCAGGATTGATTACAGTTCTTCTGGAATTTGAATTTCCCCCAAAAAAATTCACTTGCCCATCGTGCAAGTTAAGAACAGAATTCACTAGCCTGACAGCAAAATCCACTAGCTCCAGACTATCGGACACCACTTTCTTTGCACGCTGAATTGTTACACTATAGGACTTTATCAGTAGACTTTAAAATGATAGAACCATCATAAAAGACTCTGACCTAATATTCTCTCTGACTCTGCTTGTTTTCTCACCATAGGGCTATAATAATATCTGGAGGACCCAACAGTGTGTATGCCGAAGATGCACCCAAGTATGATCCAGCTATTTTTACCATTGGACTGCCAGTCCTAGGCATATGTTATGGAATGCAAGTATGTCTACATGGATATTATAAGTAATTTGTTGAAATGGAGAAGTAGTTGAAACCCAGGTTAATCAAACTCTCTAGGGGAAAACATTACTTTGATTTACTTTGGAGTTTGAGTTAACAAGGTTCTACTAGTATTCTACTGCAAATTTGAGCACTTTCACACATTTTAGCAGTTAGGTAAGGGTATACATTGTACATGTTGTACATAGGATTTTTCTTTAACAAGTGAGGGAGACGTGGTGAGGAAGAGACAAAAAGAATTTGGAACACATAGAAGCAAACAAACATAGCAGCAAACAAACCTTTTTTTAATTAGTTTACCCTTATGTTACTTCTGATCTGTACGCTATTGTCTATGGGGGTAACAAAACATGTAAATAAAGTCGTCATCATTATTATTATTGTGTTTTTGTCTTAATCTAAAGATGCTTAACAAAGAGTTTGGAGGAAGTGTCATGAAAAAAGACATCAGGGAGGATGGAGTATTCAAGATAAATGTGGAAACATCCTCGCTAATTTTCAGGTACGGATGGTATACATATACTGTAGTTGAGTACTTTGTAACTCAATGTTAACTTAATAAATCAATTCAAAGGCCTTTCTCAGCTCAAAAATATTGCACATTACAAATACCAGTGAGAGATCTTGAGAGATCTCATTACCATTAGAGAGTTTGGAGTAGATCTTCACATATACTATACATTCAGTTTCAGAAAGAAATGCACAGAAAACATTATATTGTACAATAGTAGTTACATGTACATGTATATCTGCTGATGTTGAGGTTTTGAGGAATATTATAACCAATAGAGAATTTTTTGAGAAGCGACCAATTTTCATTTCATCTACATATATAGAACAAACAGTATATTGCACAGAAAACAGTATATTGTACAATAGTAGTTACATGTGCTTGTATATCTGTTGATGTTGAGGTTTTGAGGAATAACAATTATTATAAGAAGTCACCAATTTTAATTTTATCTACATATATAGTACAAACAGTGTATTTATCATTTCTTTCTGTTCAAATAGAGGTTTGCAGCCTGAGCAAGAAGTATTGTTGACTCATGGNCTCTGACTCTGCTTGTTTTCTCACCATAGGGCTATAATAATATCTGGAGGACCCAACAGTGTGTATGCCGAAGATGCACCCAAGTATGATCCAGCTATTTTTACCATTGGACTGCCAGTCCTAGGCATATGTTATGGAATGCAAGTATGTCTACATGGATATTATAAGTAATTTGTTGAAATGGAGAAGTAGTTGAAACCCAGGTTAATCAAACTCTCTAGGGGAAAACATTACTTTGATTTACTTTGGAGTTTGAGTTAACAAGGTTCTACTAGTATTCTACTGCAAATTTGAGCACTTTCACACATTTTAGCAGTTAGGTAAGGGTATACATTGTACATGTTGTACATAGGATTTTTCTTTAACAAGTGAGGGAGACGTGGTGAGGAAGAGACAAAAAGAATTTGGAACACATAGAAGCAAACAAACATAGCAGCAAACAAACCTTTTTTTAATTAGTTTACCCTTATGTTACTTCTGATCTGTACGCTATTGTCTATGGGGGTAACAAAACATGTAAATAAAGTCGTCATCATTATTATTATTGTGTTTTTGTCTTAATCTAAAGATGCTTAACAAAGAGTTTGGAGGAAGTGTCATGAAAAAAGACATCAGGGAGGATGGAGTATTCAAGATAAATGTGGAAACATCCTCGCTAATTTTCAGGTACGGATGGTATACATATACTGTAGTTGAGTACTTTGTAACTCAATGTTAACTTAATAAATCAATTCAAAGGCCTTTCTCAGCTCAAAAATATTGCACATTACAAATACCAGTGAGAGATCTTGAGAGATCTCATTACCATTAGAGAGTTTGGAGTAGATCTTCACATATACTATACATTCAGTTTCAGAAAGAAATGCACAGAAAACATTATATTGTACAATAGTAGTTACATGTACATGTATATCTGCTGATGTTGAGGTTTTGAGGAATATTATAACCAATAGAGAATTTTTTGAGAAGCGACCAATTTTCATTTCATCTACATATATAGAACAAACAGTATATTGCACAGAAAACAGTATATTGTACAATAGTAGTTACATGTGCTTGTATATCTGTTGATGTTGAGGTTTTGAGGAATAACAATTATTATAAGAAGTCACCAATTTTAATTTTATCTACATATATAGTACAAACAGTGTATTTATCATTTCTTTCTGTTCAAATAGAGGTTTGCAGCCTGAGCAAGAAGTATTGTTGACTCATGGGGATTCTATTGATCGAGTTGCTAACAACTTTAAAGTCATTGCCAAGTCTGGTGATATTATTGCTGGTATGAATGTTGTAGTTAATTTTTTATCTCATGTAATTTTTGTTTTTCTTTGGGTATGGTAATGTATGCTAATAAAGGTGAAACAAGAGAAAAAAAAAATTACCTGAGATGTATTATATACAAAAATGATCACACATGTTTGTGCTCTTGGTTTTATTATTATTATTATTATTATTATTATTATTATTATTATTATTATTATTATTATTATTATTGTCATCATCATTATCATTATTAATGTATTATTATTATATTATTATTATTCCAAGTTCACATGACCCCTACCGTCTGGCTTCGTGATGCAAACACCAGTATAATTTGAACATTATTTTGGCACTGTCAGGGATTTGGTTTCAGGTTAACTATATCAACTGACTTTTGTGAGTGCTTTTCTAAGGACTAGTATAGTGGAACCTCGATTTATTAATGAGGGGCCAAGGGACTGGCGAAATTTGTTTGCTACAGTGAGGTTACATTTCATCGAGGTTCTTTTTCATAAATTTTACTGTTACTGGGGAAAAGAATTTAATTGTTTGTCATACCGTGGACTTTGTTATATAGAGGTGCGTTATATTGTGGTTCCACTGTAGCACTGAAAGTTCACCAGCTACATGTCCATATACATTTACTGTCATCAACACCACAGTAGACAATCAAAACTCCATAGGAAAAGCAAAGTGAGACAGCAGGGCTGCACAGGCCCAACTACTGGTACATTGTATCTGTTTTTGTAGAAGTGACGTTAGTTTAGAGGACAAGTTAGTTTAGAAATTTTATTTTCCTGGGACCAACAGAAACGTTCATAACAAAGAGATGTCACTAAGGAGAAGTTCAAGTGTATACATACAACATGTTTTAACTCTTTGTAGGCATTGAGGATGAATCACGCAAGTTATATGGAGTACAGTTTCATCCAGAAGTTGATCTCACAGAGAATGGCATAACAATGATCAAAAATTTTGTTTACGGGGTGAGTATACATGTAGTGTTGTAAAATAACAGACTGGTTGTTTGTAAATCTTGTCTCATCACTGCCAGTTTTGGATTTAAAAAACGTCACCTTTCATTTTGAATTTTTTATACCATTGTTGGCTGAAGATGGGTCCGTAGGGAAAGAACGATTGTTGTAAAGCTGATGTGATAAACAATTATCAAAATAATAATAATTATTATTAATGTGTGTTTTATCTGTGAATTTGCCAGTTCTGATGCACATGTATCTTAGTTTTTACTCATCCAAATACCATTGGCTGAGGAAGAGCATCGTCTATGTCACTCTTAAAAGATTTCAGCTACTTTTTTTCTTTTAAGTTGAAGTACACGTAATGTACAGTGTATGAAGAATTATCTCAGACCTTGTTGTTAAAAGCAGCTACCAGCTACTGTTTTTAAAGCTTTGCTCATCATGTCAATACTTGACATGCAGACCTTGGTATCATTTCACTTTTAACAGTTTAAATTAATAGTCACACTTCACTGTGGCTTTGCCTGAGGCAAATAGCCTGCACAAAACTGAATCATTTCAACGTAAAGAGAAGTATTACTTGTTAAAAGACATTAATTTCACGTGTATAGAACTACATTTACTAACAATATTACAGAATAGCCAATCTGGTGCGTGTGTTGATAAAAATAATAATAATAATAATAATAATGCCCTTTTACATCAAGGGTGTTTAAAATCTGGCGTGCCAGACTTGCCTTCATACATGTACAATGAGAAAAGTTGCTTTTGACATTTTATCATCAGGTTGTTGGTTGTTGTGGAACATATACTGTAGATTCCAGAATGGACACGTGTATCAGACAAATTAGAAAGACTGTTGGCAATATGAAAGTTTTAGTAAGTACTGTTTGTCACAAACTTTGCTATATTATTGTGAAAAAAATAGAAGAACACACTCCTAACAGACCAGTGAGTTTGTATGGGACAATGTTCATTGAACAGATCTTAGCCTTGTGTGCTGCATCCTTGCATACTTAGTAGAAGAAATACCATCATCAACAACTTGCCAGAGGAGAGAGGGCCTGGGATATACTGAAAATCAGGCAATTCTGCTTCTTGGGTTATTACACTTCTCAAACTCATTAACAAATACAATAAGAAAAATACAAAGGAAATTTATGTTTAATTGGTGTTTGGAAATCAGATGAAAAGTTGCTTATTTTTGCATCCTTAACTTTCCCATCTAAAATCGTTCTTGTTTGAGAAGTAATATCAAGCATTCGACACAGTGTTTCATCAACAAATGAAACACTTCGAAGTTCATTGCATTTTCAACTCTTTTGTCAGTGTTTCATGTGGTGGTGAAACATTGCTTCTCATGCTATTACAACAAGAATGCTCTAATAACTGCACATGCAGGCAACCCAATGCAGCCTCTTAACCTGTGAAATCAAGGGAGCTGCTAGCCTTCGCCACAGGTGAAATGAAGTCCGTCTGTCAGCCAGCAGCAAATCCTTCTTCTGGAACCCCTGCTGGGTATGAGGATCTGATTTGCCTGCTAAAAAAAGCTATTTTTGATTTTCCAATCAAGTTAAACGGAAGTTTGAAGACACACTTCTGGTAATTTGTTGAGTTCACTGGAGATCCAGAACAAGGATCTCAGCACTGCTTCGCAAACATTATTACGTGTTATTAGGCAGGGTTAGATTAGCTCTGTAACGCAAGCTAGAGTGCCATGCTGGGTCATGGTATGAGATTCTTGTAATGCCTTAGCTTTCCTACACCATAGTCTCCCAAGGGCAAAAGAAGGCCATCTGGAGTGTCTAGAGCTGCTAAAGAACAGCCCTGTACATGTACCTTTATCATTATAGTCATTGTAATCATTATTAGAGCGGTTTTCATTTGAGTGTCGAAAAGTAATTGGTTTTGCACTTTCTACACGATGCGATTGGCTTAAAAGATTCGCGCCACCTTTTCATCCAATCAGAAGTAAAACCAAAGCCAATTGTGAAAGAGCGGTTTTCATTTGAGTGTCGAAAAGTAATTGGTTTTGCACTTTCTACACGATGCGATTGGCTTAAAAGATTCGCGCCACCTTTTCATCCAATCAGAAGTAAAACCAAAGCATATTGTGACGCGCTCGCATGCATTTTCCCGCGCTTTGCGTCAGCCACATGTAATTACTTCGAGTTTTGATTGGTTCAATGTATTGTCTGTGTCCTATGTTATTGGCCAGAGTAATTACTTTGGTTTTGGTTTTACGACACTCAAACGAAAACCACTCTAATTTTGAAGGGTATTGCAGGATCTACTGTACAATTATTGTGCTGACATGGGAAAGCTGTATTGTTTCTCCAGGACTGAAAAATGTCTTTCCACAACTTGATAATCATGGCTGGTTTTATTTCAGGCACTATTAAGTGGAGGAGTGGATTCAACGGTCCTTGCCGCTCTTCTTCATAAGGTAATAGGTTGCATTTCTGTTGCGTTAATGTCACCCAACAGCCCATAGCTACAACACTGTACTGTGTACATGTACATTTGAAACATCCTGGTTTTGAAGAACAAGGAAAAGTTACTTAATGTACAAATCTTAACTGCTAAGTCATGGGTTTAATAATGGAAGCCCATGAGCTTTCTAGGTTGGTTACATTGTATTTAGAACTTTAAGGGCACTGTATTTACCAAAAGTCAGAACTGAGCAGGCAGACTGTTCATCTTGAAAAAAAAAATGAAATATGCCCTTTTCGAGAGTTTTCACCAAAAACCCAACAATGCTGTGCACAGAAATTTAAAAAAGACTAATCTGGTTGGACGGATCTGTTTAACGGTGGAATTTTCTTTAGTGATAGACTGGTTGGCGGGGCAATTCTGACTAAAGGAAAATGGTCTTAGACTGAAGCATTTTGAACTTACTTGTAAATCTTTACGTCTTCTTGTATCTTATTGTTTCCAGGCCCTTGCGCGTGACCAAGTTGTTGCAGTGCATGTAGATAATGGTTTCATGAGAAAAAATGAAAGTCGCCAAGTAGAGGAATCACTAAAACGACTTGGAGTCAGATTAAAGGGTAACGGCAATTGATACACTATCGTTTTTGTATATTTCCAGAGTCCTTATAAAATCTCTAAACGTCGCGATGAACAACAGTCTCTATCGAGAAACGAGTCATAAACAAACTTTATCAAAATCCCAAGAGTTAATCCTCTAATAAGAATTTGACCAACAATGTCATGTATTGAATTTCATTTTGTAAAATACTCTAAGACGAATAGTGCCACGTGAAAGTAAGACTGAAGAAGTTTTTCGTTGATCTTCAATATGCTATTTTGTTTTCTTTCATATTCGCATAAATTGGTCAAGATCTTATCTCGCATCCGTTAGGCCGAGAATCTCGGTCGTTCTCTTTTCTGTGGGCAGTTCTAAATGTTATGAAACAACATTTTACCCTTGCTCGTTAATGAAACAAAGTTATCGTACAGTCATAAAATATGTGGTAAGCAAGAGTTCTTATTTTTTGATAATCACATTGTCTCTGCGTTCCTCTTCTCCAGTTGTAAATGCTGCACTTCGGTTTTACAACAGTTCCACAGTGATATCAGGTAGAAAAGATCAACCGGCCGTCAAAAAGCAAATCACGAAAACTTTGAACGTTACGACCAATCCTGAAGAAAAAAGAAAGATCATAGGAGATACTTTTATTAAGGTATGAACTTGCTGTTTTCTGCCCAGTGTTTGAGTTTAAGTACGGATGTAAAGGTGCGCTCGCTCTGCGGGCGCTCATATGTGGACAAAAAATGCCCCCGAAATTGCGCCCCCTTTGAAGTGGAGTTCGATCTGGAACAAGCCATTTTGAATGCTTGAACCTTCAATATAGCACGTTTTAAAAACAGGGAGAAAGGTTTCTGCTGTTTTTCTTTATTTCTTACCTAGTAAGAAGTTGTAAATACTATTTTCTTGGTATGGCGGTGAAGGTATTTTGGCCAGTTACCGGTTGTAGACCCGGCGGAAGTGCAACCAGGGGCGCTTTCCATTTAGGCAAAACTTCCGGTTGGAAGTTCCGGAAACATTCCGGGTTAGAAGGAAAGGCTTTCCAACCATAGAGCCTCGTTTGCAATCTCATTGCTCGTGTGAATCAAAAATCTAAAAGCGAAAGTAATTTTCAATCACTGTGGCAATAGCAGCAGTTTGTTGCTGTTTTGTTAGAAGACATTAGAACAGATTTCAGAGAACTATTTTCAACGGATTCCATTCTGAACGATATGAGAAGAGGGAAAAGAAAAACTGCAACTGCCCGAGAACAACGCTCACTGGCAAACATTGGAAATGGCGGGACAAATTCAAGGCGCCAGCCGCCGGCCGACACAGAATTGCGCAAATGGAAGTGGAACACCTCGGAAGGTCCTTCGGTTGTTCCGAAAAATTCCCGGTCGAACTGCGCGTTCAATTTGCATTTAAACCGGTCGATCCGGTAATTTTGCCTAAATACAAAGCGCTTCAGACTGGTATTACTACGTTATGCCGTGGAAGAAGTGTGACTTAACAATTATAGATTTGAATTTGCTGTACGGGTGCGTGTGTTCTTTCAGGTTATGTTACACAAATCAAAGAGACAATTTTTAACTGTACAATCTTTTGACTGCAGATCGCTGATGAAGTTATCAATGAGCTTAATCTCACAGAACACAACACTTTCCTAGCACAAGGTATTTCCATAATCATTATTTCATTTCCAATACTAGGTGTTAGTACAATGTATCTTCAACCATCTTGACCATACAGGACGTATGATTTCCACCATCTGCGAACTCCCTTCATACAACTTCATTATTTTCTCCACTATTAAGGGAGGACAGGCGGGGATGGTAACCCGGGAGAAAGGGGGGAGGGGTAAGGAGGCGAGAGAAAAAAGGGTAGTCTAAATAATAGAAAGATTAAAGGGAAGAAGCCAAGGAAACAAGAGGTGGGAGCCGGTTATGCAATGTACGGGAGGCTGGGGGAGGGGTTGGACCCCCTGTTCCCACGCTCCGCTCTTACAAAACGATGCCAAAACGAGTGTTTAGCCTCATGAATTCTTTAACCTGCAAGATGGAAACTCTCGGAAGAGGGGAGGGAATCCTTCAGGCTATTTATGCTTTTGTTGTTGTGTTTTATGCCGTTATAGGTACCCTTCGACCAGATCTCATTGAAAGTGCGTCATCACTAGCAAGTAGCAAAGCCGACGCTATCAAAACTCACCATAACGACACGGAATTAGTTAGAAATTTACGAGCAAAGGTGAGCGCACAAAAATCTTCGAGATATTCCTCCGCAAAGTCGCGAGATTTTTACAGACCCCTGACGTTTGCAGGAGACTAATCGGCTCGTGACGTTTTGTTCATGTACATGTATGGTAGGTACGTTGTAGTCTCCCAGGCAGCCGTTTTTTGGATGTCACGCAACACTCCCCCAAAAGAACTTTTTGGGGGGGAGCGTTGCGTGATATCCAAAAAACCGCTGCGAGGGAGACTATATGGTAGGGGAGCTCTCCACGATACAAACGTCTGAAAAATATAACGCACTTTATTTGAGTGTCAACGTGTTTAGTACGAAAGTTCTAGAGGCGCTCACTATTTTGGGACCGCAATTTTACTCGGTTATCAGAGGCAGGCGAAAGTCTGCCATTTGCATGACTAAGGCAGTACTTCTTAGTTTGTTAGACCCTGAAGGGGAATCGGGAATCGAACTTGCCACCACGCGCTCTGTAGTGAAGTGCTCTACCGACTGAGTATAGGGAACTTAAGCACCAGACGTTCTTGGTACCACGGACGCCAACCGGAAGTATTTTTGCAGCATGACAGCCATTGCGCATGTCAAGACGTTCTTGAGCTGCGATTACGGACTTCAAAACGCGAGTTCTCAGGTTGAAACCAGAGGTTCCAATTCTGTGTTCTTCGAAGAGTGAAATTCTCCGTCTGAAATCATGTTTTCTTCGTAAGAAAGAAACAAAACTTAACGCAAATCTTTGAAAGGCATTTTCAACTGAATTATTCTGTCGGCGTTCGTGATGGTTTCACGTTGTTTTGCTTAATGATTTGCATTTGGCATGCGAACCGCGTCCTCGATCCAGTTCTGCGCGGCCAGCTATGCCGTTACTGAATCAAGAACGTCTGGTGCTTAAATTCCCTTATATCCTGCATCGGCGACTTTGTCGAGGTTTTCATCAATCGCTTATTTGATAACCTTGAATGTGGGAGAAAAAATTACGGTGTTTTATTATGTGCGAATTCTGGAAAAGTATTGAATTTTGCGTGCAAAAATCTGTACGAACGTTTTGAATAAAATCCCCTAGTAAATGAACATTGGACTGCAATAAGCTGCAAGTTCAAGCAACGCGGGGTCAACGAGCCAACTTTGAGATAAACGCCTAGGACCTTTAATATTTAGAAGATATAGTACCCGACCGAACTTGAAATACTTGTTTTTATTTCTTTCCAGGGACGAGTTATCGAACCATTAGCAGATTTCCATAAAGATGAAGTCAGAGCTCTGGGGAGGGATCTAGGTCTACCAATAGAGATGATTCAAAGACATCCATTTCCTGGTAAGTTATTGTCTTTGTTTGTTTTGCTTTGTTTTTTGCTGTCGCTATTGTAGCTTTTTCAATTTCTTAGGGTTTTATCCGTTTTTCTTTGACCTTTTATTTTTTATTTCCATGACTAATAACATTTTCTTTAAAGTCACAAATGTCCGAAATTTAAATGTATTTCTGATCCCTGAAATAGATGACTTTTGCACTGGATAGAATTTACCTTGAAAGACGTAGCGATATTAAATCTGGTCCTTTAAAAGAAAACATTGCGTCAAAAGCAATGCTTGCATCTCACAATCTAGAAGGAATAAAATAGATATCCTTTTAAAATCCACAGACTTCAACAAATCTCTGGGCGCCATCTTGAAAGTTCTTTTTTTATCTCCTTCAGGTCCTGGGTTGGCCATTCGCATCCTTTGCGGTGATGAACCTTACCAAGGCAACGATTATGCTGAAACAAATATTATTTTGGGGCAGATTGTAGACTTTGTTACTGCCGTTAAAAAGGTATGTGAATGACGCTTTGTACCGGTAGAATAAACACACGCTTGACGCTCGGTTCATTCAATTGAATGCGAGAGGCTTATTCGGCCTATATATTAAAGTTACTCTGTTAGTAAATGTTATATGCATTTATATGTAATTTAAAAAGTGAAGAAGTTATTCCCTGACTGCACAAACAGCTTTTACGCACTCATGAATTGAATTCATTGACACATCTTATAATGGTAACAAAAATATTCATTAAAAAATAACAGACAAATCATGAACAAAAGTGCCGTGTTAATAACTTCAACCTAAACTTCTATTTTCTAAACTGCTACGCAGCTTAAGGGAAATTCTTTCGTCATTTGTTTATCATACATCTTATAATGGACAATTTTAGCGCGCTCTGGTTCGATCTGTGCGAGACCAACAAGAAAGCATAGAGACGAAAAGCGGTTTTTTCGGATTTCCATACTTGCGTCGTTAATTTCCGTTTTTGTTGGTATATTTTTTAAGTCGGTTGCATAGAAACACCGGTGATACTTTTTTGGATGCTTTATGCTTTGATTGTAATTGGCCGCTCCAGAAAATACCATAACATACCACAATACTCTTTGTTGGACACTCCAAAATTTTGCAATGACAATATGACAATGTTTATGGAAAATTTTGGAGTGACCAACAAAGAGTATTATGGTATGCTATGGTATTTTCTGGAGTGGTCAATTCGCAACTTAAAAAACGAGAAGGGACCTGGAGCCGAATTGTGTCCCGCAATTGATTTTGGGATCGTTACTGGGGACGCGCCGGTCAGCTATTGGTCCCCAGAAACATTCCCAGAAGTCTTTGCAAAGGTTAACTCGACCCAGTCTCTTTCTCGTTTCTAAAGTGGTGAATTCCTCTCTTTTGTGCTTAGCCTCATTCACTGTTCAGTCGAGTTAAACTTAGTACTTCAGAGGACGACAGAGAAAATCTATTGGAGATCACATCAAAGTACAGAATCGGCGCCACTCTCCTGCCAATCAAATCTGTGGGGGTCCAAGGAGATGGCAGGACTTACAGCTATGTTGTAGCGTTATCAAGCAATGATTCACCCGACTGGCTTTCGCTGCTATTCCTTGCTAAACTGATACCTAAAGTTTGCCATAATATTAACAGGTAAATTCTTTCTGTCTTCTAATATTAACAATAACAGTGTATTACATTTAACCGATCAAGGTAACGAGAAGTAAAGAGATGAACCTTTTCCGCATTCCGCCTCAAGGTGGATTTTTACTGTCGCGTAATTTTTCCAAGCGTACGCACGTAAACTTTACGCGCGTAAATGAAATAGAGACATGTATGGAAGACGACAGAGCTGCGTGAAGATTGGGAGCAAGTCAAATTGAGGGATTTTCCCTCGCGGCTCGTTCGGCAAGGCGGCTCCCCCCGCTAAGAAACTAGAGACGTTTAGATTCGAGGACGAGAACCAGTACGTGTACGAGATTTGATTTAAAGTTTTTTCGCGTAGTGTCAAAAAATAGACACCTTGGAATTCTTCATTGTACTTTTTTTCACCTGAAAAGTTAGCACTGTTATCGGTTTTGAAGGAGGTTGAGCCTTCTCCCGATTGCAAAATGCTAAAACTTCTAACATTTGATAACTTATTCCCGCGAATACGACACTCTGGCTAAAACTTGTAGTAGAATGACGACGGCTACCACGTTTTCCCGCCAAAATGACGCTGGCTCACGCGCGAGCACCACTTACTATTGAGAAAATGTCGTACTCGTAGTCGTTCTCGTCTTAGAATCTGAAGGTCTCTAGTACCTCGGGCACAGGTAATCCCGCCAGCTACGCAGGTTAAGGTTTTGGAACTTGGCCATGGCCTATTGTGTTGAACGCCCGTGCAAACATTCTCTTACTGGGGAGGTGATCGGAAGGGGGTAAATCTAATCAATAATAAATTACTTCATTACAACTTGTTTGAGTTTTGTCACTTTTCTTTCAGAGTCTGTTATACTTTCGGGAAAAGGATCAAGTTCCAAATTCAGGAAATTACTCCCACGTTCTTGTCAACAGGCGTGATTGGTACAGCGAGGCAAGCAGATCACGTGGCCCACTCTGTACTTCGTAACCACGGTGTGTAAACTTTGCAAACTCAATTTGAAGAACTTAACACCAGCCTGGCACCCAAATGAAGCATGTGGTAAAACGTTTAAGCCACATGGCACTTAAATTGCTGCATGAACTGAGATCCCTGAGACTGTAGTCTGCGAAGTGATGTGTTCATGCCTGATTCTATTGCCTGCAACACCCATAATATTGTTTATGCTCTTGTACACTACATAGTTTCTACCCTCGTTAAAATAGTCAATGCGTTTCTGTGGTATTCTGGGGAAGTGCTTCTCTGAGGTAACCAGGGGGCTGTTTTGTGACTGCTTTGTATTTGAATTGCTCTGCTTTATGATTCGCTGAAGGATTTCGTGCCTTTTTCTTAGCCAATCAGGAGAAAACCCCAAACAAATCACGTGACTTGCTCACACGCGTTTTCCCGCCGGACTGTCACTCGCGGCACGCATCACCTTCAAGATATAATTGGTTCATTTGAATGTCTCCTCGTGTCATGATTGATCAGAAGCATTGCTAAGGTTTTGCTTTTACGATGCTCTTTTGAAAACAGCCATAATAATTGATCACTGCATTATTCTCGCAGGTTTATTGGCTCAGATCAGCCAGATGCCCATCGTATTAATACCCGTTCACTTTGACCGTGATCCGATAGACCACATTCCATCGTGTCAGCGGTCTGTGGTGATAAGAACGTTTATTACAAATGACTTCATGACTGGGGTACCCGCCACACCTGGAAAGCACATCCCTATAGAGGTAAGCGGCTCTGATATCCGTGATGGTTCAAGGCAACCCGGTGTTTAGTCTCGAATAGTCTCTCTCGCAGCCGTTTTTGGATGTCACGCAACGTTCCTCCAAAGGAAGAACGTTGCGTGACATCCAAAACACGGTCTCGAACAACTCTAGCCTTATCAATTCTGTAATGTTTCTTGGAATTTCTTCTCAAAACGGCAAATTCTTTGGTTTTCACCAAAACGGGCGCCTCGAGTTAGTATTTACCGTTGTTGTCATTTTCTTGAAATCTCTTTACGCATTTCTTAAGGGAGATTACCATTGGGCAGAGTTTGGGGGCCAGACTAGCCTGCGTAGCAGGCGCTTGGAAGTAGTGGGCGAAAGAGAGAGCGGGCGAGGGAGACACGCCTCCCCTCGCGTGTCTCCTTCTCGCGCACCCGTTTTTTCTTGTGCCCACTGCTTCCAAGCACCTGCCACGCAGGCTATGGCCAGACCTGTCCAATAGACCTGTTCGGCTAACTCAATGTTGTACCCAATTCAAATCTGTCGGGGTTAAGATTCTTTGTGTATTGTATTTGCATTATGATGTGGCATTCACATTTAAATGATATGGAAATTCCTGAAACAAAACGTTTTATTCCCAAAGGCTTTGAATTGGGTACAACATTGAGTTAGCCGAATAGGTCTACGGTAAGGAGAGTTCTACTATTAATCAGGACCATCAGTTGGTATACACAGATGCGATGGGTTTGAGGGAATTTTTGAAAAGACTAATGCGTATTTCATTTTCAAATTACTTGTCTGGCCAACCAGTTCTGGCTTTCTTTTAAGCGCCATTAGGTGACACTTATAGCTCTAACTCTGGTCAGAACTAGCCGACCAGATCACCCCTTTTGTAAAAAGAATTCCACTGTTATGTGTTCTTCTCCTCAGGTTTTGAATGAAATGGTTGAATCTTTACAAGACATTCAAGGAATCTCGCGTGTTCTGTATGATTTGACCGCCAAACCGCCAGGAACAACCGAATGGGAATAATTTAATGGCATTAAAACGACAGCAACCATATGAAGTAAAGCATGCCTCCCTTCATTAAGCACCGTATTTATTTGGAGCTCTGATTTTAGCCTCGCCAGGGTTTGTGGAGGAACGGCACAGCCGTCTGTGCTAAGTTTGGACTCCGTCACAACTGCACGCCAACATCCCTAAGAAGGTCCTCTAGAATGAAAGAGCAAATTGTGCCTTTTGAAACAGGCCCCCCATGTTCAAAAGATGAATATAGCGTTATCCACAAGGAAAATCGCTTTATAACATAGCGCGCGTGCTTGCCCTATATAATTCCTATTGAGCCGCTATGAACAAAATCGTTATTTATGCACGCCCGTGCGCAAATAAAGATTTTTTTCATGATGACGAGTTAAGCTGTGTTTTCCGTCTTCTTTCCTACACTGTAACTACTAAGTACCCAAAAATCAACGGCAATGATGAAAAACTTTCTAGATTTTTTTGGAATTTAGCTTCTATCCGCTCAAACCAACAGCAAAAGCGGTAGAGATGTTTCGCAAATATAAATGGAGCCTGAATCGTTGAAAAGTCCGCTGTAAAGACTGACATTCAGCTGGAAAAAGACCACAAATTTGTCTGTGTCGGGAAATATCCAATTTGTATAGTGTCCTCCGTTTTAACGCCTATTTATCCTTTAAAAAACAAGCTAATTAGAAAGTAAGCTCAATAGCGAAAAATTATGTACTTTTGTTATCGCCGAACAATCCGACTGAAGCAAGAAAATTTCTCTTGCAATAACAAGACAAATTACACAAGAAGACATAAATTTATTACTCACAAAAAAAACTGCTGCCAGGTCTTCTCAAGAAGCCGTAATGACCAGCCATTTTTCGTAAATGAATGTAAAGAAGAATGACAGTCATCTTCGCTAAAAAACAAGTTTTCTGGATTTCGCGAAGCAAAACATCAACAGTCTCACTGACATCTTCTGATCGAATCCAAACCATACTGCACTACTTCTTACGAACATGTGAGTATTTTAACTTTAGGTGGACTTTAAGACTCTTTTACCTTTGTTTCTGCTTCGTTTCCATTGATCATTAACGAACAAATAAGCAAATTTTCTCTCTTAGTTTTACAGAAAGAATTTTCTTTCAAACTACGATTGGGCGACTGTTTGTAACCAGCCAATAGAAGCGTTTGTTTTTCTGTGTCACGCGTTACGATAGATATCATTAATTGACTCCGTGCTTTGGACAAAAATGGTAGCGAGAGACCCCTGTGTGTCTCGAAACACTTTCGAAAGAAGAAGTAGGAGTTTCTAACGCGTAATGGTTTGATTTAGTAAGCTTTAACCACTTCTCACTGTTTTAAAGCCAGTAGACATGGATGAATTTTAAGAGTCAATGAATTGTGTACTAAAATCGGTCTGTTAAGTAACAAAAAAAATACTGTTGCTCTTTTATCCTTGGGCAACTTCCCGACTTTCAGCCTTCCTAGTAACTTTCCAGTGGCTCGCAGCAGCTTCCTGCTCTTGACATTAGCGACTGCCTTGTTTCCCGCCGTGTTTTCCCGCCGCCTGAAACCGGTTGCAAGCGCTCCAGCGGTTAGAGCACGTTGCCAGGCAAGGGAAATCTTGCAAATGGTCTCTGTACCCCGTATCATTTCTAAAATAATACAATTTATCTGTACCTTATTGTTATTTGATCTACATTCCTTAATACTTTTTTGATAGTTTCCTAGCTCTTTACTTGTTTAGTGTTCAGTACTGTGAACGTTACATTTAATTTCAGCACTAGGCAACATACCAGTCGGAATAAGTGAATGTCTCAACAGTTAAGATTATTTTCATTTTAGTATCTTGGGGGGGGGGGGGGGGGGGGGTGCCGGGTTTTATTAAGCGCGCCTTACTTGCGTATAAAACTTTTAAATTTTTTTTTTAAATTAAAAAAAAAAAAACAAGTTGTTGTGTAATTGTTTTTTTTTTTTTTTTTTTATTATATTTTTTTTTTTTTTGCATACTCTTT